CAGCAGATTAACCAGCTCGTTATGGTCTGCACTGTCGGTTTTTCAGTCAGGAAATATTTAGTATTTTCCCTTAAAAATGATGAATGGTTTTGTCCAAAATGATAGATAGACAGGTCCATTTTAAGATAGGGTAATTATATCAGGTCAAAATATGAAATGTATATGCATTATACATGAAGAGATGAAGCTGTCTAGCTGAGTTTAATTACAACACCTGACAAGTGTTGTTATCAAAGTGCAAGATGGAAGCTGAATGAGAGCAGGACATCATCAGTCTTCATCCAGTTGTAAAGACAGAAAATTGTAAAATTAATCAGAAGTGTTGATTACAATTTGAAAGTAAAACTAAAAAACTGAATGCAATGAAAGTGAAGTCGGTGATAAAATGTTTGTTATCTAGTACTGCTATTTTTGATTCTTAATTATCATGATCTATATATAAAAGCTATTATGATAAAATAAAACTAAGAACACATGCATTTGCTTTGAAAATAAATGAAAATTGTCTAGATCTGAGACCCTCTATTTTGTATAATTATGTTGTTCTCAAATGTTCCAAAATGATTCAGTTCTCTCCACAACATTTACCAATCAATTACTTCATCTCCTACTGTTGTTTTGTTTACTGTTGTTCTACTAGGTATATATTTTCTATCTACAATAAATGATTTATTTTCTGATATCCGAAGAGTTGGTCTAGTTGGAAACTCTTCAAAATGGAGATTAGAACTGCCCTCGGAGTCTCGCGTAACCTGGCTGTGAATTCTTGGATAACAGAATTCGCAGACAGTTGTAAATTGTAATTTTTTATGGCTGCTATAAGCTTGTTTTAAAGTTGTGTAAGAAGCTGAGAGGGTGTGATGATGTTCTGTGAAATTGGTATCAGAGAGACTTCATGTCATGATGCCGGAAGTTTTCAGCTGAGGGTTTATTGACTATGTCCATATCATAGCAAATAAAACAAAATCAACCCAAAACACCAAAACAACAAGCAAACTTTGAATTTGAATGTGAATAACTAGAAGAATTAGTATGACATTATAACATGTGTTAGTTTAAGAGAATATAGTTATGAAAATTGAATACAAAATGTATTTAAGGGGAATACTGGAGGAACAAAATCAATTTACTATCCAAAATTATTTTCAAATTACAAGTTTCATGTTTGTATGGAGATTTAAAAGGATCATTGTCATGCACTTTTACCAGAAACAGTATTAAGAAAACAATCAAGGTTAATTGTTGTCTAAAGTAAATCAGGTGTTTCCCATGCTGGAATGCACTGAAGGTGATATTCAGTAATAATATTTTGGCACAAAATAGTCCTCAATGAGACATTTGTTAAAAAAATTGTCTTTTGTTGTATTAAAAAAACATTTCTAAGCTAACAATGTAAAAGAAATATAGACCAAATAGATTGTTGATAGTCCTCTTTTACAGGTGTATTATCTAGCACTTTTACAGCAGCAAATGGAACTTTAGTTCAGGTCATTATTTTTAAAGAAAAAATGCTTTGATTAAGGCGTAGGGTTTAGGCTATGAATATAGTACAAAAAAACTTCAGTCAAACTAATAACAGTTATCATTTGGTAAATTTATAGGTCTGTAACTGTAAAGTATTTTTTTTATAATAGTAGGACATTGTGTTGAACCAAAACATTTCAACATGCAACTGTAATGTCCGTAAATTTGGCAGTTGCATAATTAATACATTCATTACTGCTAACAAGGAGAGAAAAACAAAATGATATGCATTCAGAGATCAGATATCTTTGTCTGAATTCATGCTTTATTTAAATAGTGCATGTATTTTATTCCTCAAAAGAATCATGTGTCTTGGCAAACACATCTTGTTACCTGGTCGTCAGCAGGTACAAACCTCATCAAACGATTACTTGATTGGATAGCAATGTGTTTTAGTCAATCCCGGCACTTTTCTCATGATTTTTTGTATGTTTATCGTGTTAGATTTTGAGTTTTAAATTGGCTGTTCTATTTATATTAATTGTTTAACCTACAGATCCAGACTTCCTGTAAGATTTAAATGTGTGCACCATGATGAATCTACAGTGTTTTATGTGAATCGTATCTTATATAAACCATAGCTGTAATAGCTGTTAAAAAAATCTATTTACAGAATTTTATGATCAGATTTGATGATGATATCAATCACTTTAGCAAAATCTAGAAATAAATCTTACAAATTGACTTGCAGTGCATAGGGTGCAGCCGAGAAATAGAATAACATACATCTTTTGAATGAGACTGTTTGTTAGAATTATTATTAAAATATCAGTTAGTTGTATTGTTTGATTGGTAAATGGAAGAGTTGTTTAATGTTAATGAGAAGTTGTTTTAATTAATGCTGTGAGGTCATCTATGATCATGATTTGTAACACATATGAAAAGTTAATCTATCTTAGCTTATAGGGTTTTCAGATGCAGGTGCATCTGTGAAGACAACCAGTAAAATTCACCTTTGCAAAAGAAATGACAAAACTTGACATCATGAATAATTGCAGTTGAAGAATATTTCACAGTAGAAAACCAATATTTTACAGCTTTCATATTGCCAGAAAGTAGGAAAGTAAGATTTAAAAGCAGTTCAGCAAATTATTGTAGGGTGGTATAGTTGTGGATCACTGGTACAGTTAATTCAATTTAAAACTAATGCATTTAAAACCACTGATTGTCTGCAACTACAGCTGGATGGGAGAATCTCGTTTCCTCGAGATTACCTTGAAATAGGGGATTAAAGAGAACAATGTTTAGATTTTAATAGTCTGTAAGGCAGAACTGATGAAAGTGTACACTTAAGTCAGAATGTTTAGAATTGTTTACATTTTAAGAACTACAGTACATGTACTGCCGATGGAAAAAAATAAAAATATCTTTTTCTTATTTAGGCCGATTGTGAAAAATGAGTAGCTGGTTTTAGACCAGTGATAATACTGGGGATACAATATTACGAAACAAAGTTATTGTAGTAAGAAACAAAAAGGACAAACTCAAATTTTGTAAAATATATAGATGGCATATTTCTATTGCTTGCAAACAATATTAGGGAATAAAATATCCTTGATGACATGGTACAGCATAAGCTGTCTAAATCATATCAAACTTTAAATCATTTCTTTAACTTAAAATAGTTCGTAACATTTTTGTATCGATTAATTTTATCAGTGTAATTACAATCTTTCTTTAAAGAAGTAGTTAACTAATTAATTAGTGAAGCAATTTAAAACTAACAATGATTGCATGATATAAGTATATATATATTATTGTTCCGTGACAGGTATTGGTAACTTGTTGTGACTTTGAACTGTATTATTGATACCTCTAGTCTCGCAATGTTACACCTCCAAGTGCCAATACTTCAAATATACACCCCGTTTGATCTGTCAGTATTTGATGAACCGATAGTCCTATCGTTTGACAGCCATATTGTTTTTGTCTCGACTTTGGGTGTCACTGTGTACGCGGAGTTGATCGTCGGATACCGGTCTGTGCCAGATATTGCAGATGGGACATAATATCGGTGGAAACAATACAATACCGTCTCAGCTGTATAGTTTTATATCTAAATCAACAGTAGTTGATAGATTTTTCTATAATTTGCTCAAAGGACTGAATAGCTAATTAGGGGGTAGTGAATAGTTCCATTTAATTGGAAAACACCTTAAATAAATCTAATTAGGGGGTAGTGGAAAGCTTTGTGTTACTAATGGGTGACTAGGACAGCACACCTCAGTTTGAATGATTTAAGAGTTGCAGATCAAATGTATACAGCAGACAGATGATATATCTGGCTAATATCAGCAATACATTCTAGCTGATTAGTTTCTAGATGTAATAAATTAATAAAAGAAGCCAGATTTTAATCGTTATCATGCAATACCAAGGGACACATAGATAGATTTTTATAAAATTGATGAATTTTGAAATATTTCTGATAACATCTTGAAATAATCCAATTCATTCATTCAATTGATTTTTTGCCATGTGAAATTGGAACTGGAATATTTTGAAAACGAGTTGTTCTCTTTACAATGTAGGTATTGTTTTTGAAACAAAATCTCAAAGCTAAAGTTGGAGCCATCAGTTCATATTTTATTGTAGCCTGTTGTAATATTACTCCTCTGCCTTTGTCTTGTAGATTTTGAAATAAGTTGAAAATACCAAGAGTTTTTAATGTATTTGACATAGGTTTCAAATTGTTTTTAAACTTTTCGCATCATTTTTTAGATAATTTAACTCAGACCTATTTGGCTAGCAATGCATTTTTACTGGCTTTGATAAATCTTGATTTTTTTTAACTAACAAAGTTACTTGTTATTAATAAAGATAATTCACAAATTACTGCAGTATTTACAATTTAATGCCAGTTGGAGGAAAAAAGTTTTAAAGAAGGTAAAATGAATGAACCAAAAACAGACCATCTGCTCAATAAGTTTCCAATTTTTGGGCCAGACATCAGATTCTGTGTTTATCTGTTACATGAAAACAGTTTACAAATTACTTCATACCTTTCCCATTGACGCAACAGGTTTTACTATGGTCTGGAAGATTTTACCCTGCTGCCAGAACCACATATCACTATTCTCATATACTCAACTGTTTAAACATGTGAAAATTGTAAGATACAGTTGTTTTTTTTTTCTCAAGAGTATTTTTATTATCCACCACAGATGAAATTGAAAGTAGGGTATTGAAATGGTGTTGTCCATCTGTCAGTCCTGCTAGGCTAACATACACTGGTTTATGAGCTTCACTTTATTTATAAAAAGAAGGAACTGACCTAAACTTTTGGTTTTGAATGAAAATTTTCACTGGTTCACATGGAAAAAATGCATGTAATGGTTTAGATTTTCATTGGTTTACTACATTTTCACTGCATAACTTCAATATATATATAACTGTAATGTTATATTATTTTGTGTTATATTAAAGGTAATTATCAATATAAGTATGATTTTAATTTTCTCTTTTTATATTTTCAGACAAAATATATGCAGGGCCCCAGAAAAATGTGATACATTAGGTGAGTAATAGATATATTTATAGGTCCAATCATTCTATAATGTTAACTGTCAACATGGTGTGTGATATTCAAGCATGCTGGTTTGTCCTGACTTCTGTCCTACATACCTTTCTTCTGTTATGTCACACTTCTTGTTTCTGTCAGATTATAAGTTTTGGGGTCATTTATTAACTTCTTTGAAAATGAGGGGGTCATTTGGAATTATGAAGTGTCATAAACCATTTTAGCTTCATTGAATTCACAATAGTTTTGAGTTTTTGATTTCAATGTATTTGTGCTTACTTTCTGGGTATGATTCAGGATTAATATGGTCAAGGTCAATGATGCTTAAAATAGCTTGTCCTACAGTCTTTAGAGAACATAAAATAACCTGTATAGAGAAATTACCACTCAACCGAAATGTTTATCAATATCATGGTCTTTTTGAGACAGACTTTGATTGAGGACTTAGTTTAACCAAATCTATAAATCAATCAATTAATAAATCAGTTGAACGGTCAGTTGGTCAAAGTTAGTACAAGAAGACTGGTCAGTCCAGGTCAGTCCAGGTCAGTCCAGGTCATATTTAATCATTCACTGATTGACATGAACCTGAAGACTGATTACTATCAGTGATTAGATAATGAGAACTGCATCTTTAGTTTTACATATCCTGATTCTCTAATAGTTCATAAAAAGTAAAAATTACAGAAAGTAGAAATATTGGAGCGAGAAAACATTAATTGGGAGCTGTAAATTAGAGTTGCTTTTACATCCTTTAGTGTTTACATGTTTACAGAAGTAAGTTTGGTTTTCAGCTATGATAATTTAAAGAAGTTACACATTAGCATTTACATTCACTATATAAATATGATTACCTACAATGGAAGTAGATAAACAAGGTATATTCTAAGATTTACGTCCCCAGGTATATTCTAAGATTTACGTCCTGTTAGCAGTTTTAGATATTTTTTGCTCAGTAACTCAGGGTAAAAATGTATCTTTCATTTCATATAGAAAGAATTATCTATAAAAAAGATGACCAAATGAAATATTTTCTCTTCACAAACATAAATCATAACACAACTTTTATGAATTGAAAATATCGTTGTTGAAATCTAAAGCCAGGAATTGATAGGGAGGAGGTGTAATGTACAAGATACCGTGGAAATGTTTGTAAGAGGTGAAACCTTTCAACAATATTTTTGATATTTGCCATATCAACCAAGCAATATATGTTTATTTGAAATAAATCATTTTACGGTACTTTTATCAAAAAAAGCGGTACTTTTATCAAAAAGCGTACCAATTATAAAATTAAAATGTAATAAACACACTTCTGTCAAGTTGAGATGAATGAAAATACCCCATGACTTGTACTCCTTCCTTTTCATTGCCTTGATTTATATGGATTTTCAACTTAAGCTGGTATTAATAAATCATACTAAATATCCCTGGAATTTTTTGGTCATTCATATATTGATTTATAAGTAAGAAAATTTTATAATTTGTTTTCAGAAACTTGTCAAAGATTTCATGGCGGTGTTTTTGTTTAAATATCAGATATAGATGTGACAATACAAAGAAGAAATGATATTATAGTAAATCATGAAACAATATTTTAAAACATATCAACAATTTTGAATTTATATTGTATATTTATAATGGAGTAATAAACAGTTCATATTACATGTATTTATCCACAGCGTGATAAAAACATGATAGTATAGTTGCAGAGTATTCCCCCTTTACTCAGATGTTTGTGTTAAGTTTCCCTGGCTTTGATTTTGATTGATCTTTTATTGATTTCATGGATTTCAATTTAAAAATAGATATTCTTGGAATAGTCCACAGTATGAGTCTTGTCATGTGGCTGAACATGCTTGCTCTATACTGACAGCTAAAGTTATTACACATTGTTAGTTATAATAATTAGATTTAATGAAATCTCAGTATTACTTATTATTATAACTATATCAGATCTCTACCTGTTAAACTTGCCTTTTGTATTTCTGCACAGCTTTGAATTGATAACAGTCCATTCAGAGTTTATGAAATTTTAATATAAAATTATATACAAAAATTGTTCTACTAGTCAGTAGTACAGAGTCCGGTCAGGATCCAGACTGGTCTGACTGTATACTTATGGCAGAGGCTAATCACTTACAGTTGGCTTAACAGCATCTTTGTATTTTTGAATTTTAACCTGAATGGTTAATAGATAGCTGTATGAGATCTTTAAATTGTAAAAAAAGAAGCAGAAAATGTGCTCTCTCTTACGGTCAAATATTGCCAGCATGCATATTATGTAATTTCTGTACAGACTGTGTCATAAGACAAATTATAGTTTGTTGCAATTATTTTCTCTGTTACAATCTAGATTGTTATATTTTTTTCCCGATTATTTTATATTTTTGTAACAATTCTTGATGAAGTGTAATCATAATTACAAGATTACAAGTGAGAAGAATTTCTGAAATGTAAATTATCCAATTTCCTGGTAACCTTGATGTAATGGCAATCATTTGTTCACATTATGATAACAGTAAAAGGTTGTCTGCTGTGTTGGAACAAGGTAACCCGTCTGCTCAGTGGAATCTTGATACAAGAATACTTTTATCAAGACAGGGGTCCAGTGAACTGCTTTCATGACAAGGAGGGAGCAAGCATGGTTTCCCCTGATACTAGCATTGCAAGCTTCTGACAGTTATAAATTACTTTACTAATTAAAAAATCTCAGGTCCCCCTTCGTATTTTATTTTAGGCACAAGCAAGCACCTGAGTAGAACCATAAAACATTTCTTAAGCTACCTGGATAGCTTTCTGACATAAAAGATGAGGGGCAAGTGGTTAAAACACCTTAACCATTTGGCCGTAGACACACTCCTGTTACTGATCTGAGTGTCATGTGCTAGTCTTTACAAAGAGTAGAATGAAGCATTTGATCATCTTGCAGAATCATATGAAGTTTCTATAGAGTGCTATGAGAAAATTTCAAGGTTAATTCCATATCCACATAACAGGTGGTCACCTGACATGATGCCAAATTTTACAAATATTGTATAGTAAGCAAGAAATTAGTTTACTACAACATATTGTAAATTCTGGAATAGTTTTATGTCCTCATCGCCTGGGTGATTCCAGTAAGTCAAGTGATGATCAACTTTATGATGTGTACTTATATTTTATATTGATTTCTTTTTCACTGAGTGCAATTAAGTCATTTGAATAATACATGCTTTTAAGTTTACAACATGCACAACTCCATATAATATAATAAGGAGCTTAATGTTTTCTTCTTCTGCTATAAAAAAAATCGGAATGTGTCTGTGATACATCAGTTAGTTTTGATTCAGCAGTTTTTGCTGTTGCTATTTATTAAGTTTCTTTGAAAGTAGGTGCGTGTCTCTGTACTCTGTCAGTGTATGTTTGGTCTGATGATTGAAGTTTTGATTATGCAAATTGAGACTTACAACACCTTCTGTTTTTCTGTGTGCAATGATTACATTATATGTTAACAATTTAATCCATGCAGGGTTTTAACAGGTCTTTATAAAGAGGATATATCACACTATGTGAGAGGCATATTGGACTTTATTACATTGGTAAATGCATATTGAATGAATTCCAAGGAAGAGATTTATGTTAATAACTTATATAAAGGAGCAGATGCATAAGTATCATACTTAAGTGACATTATAATAAAAACACACACAATGCAATAAAACACACACAATATAATAAAACACACACAATATACTCATGGATGAAAGTAACATTTTATATGTTGATGCTTCAAGTCATAGGGCTATTATATAAGGGCAATACAGCAGAAATGAAGAAAATGAAGGAAACATTGGTTATTTCTGACTCAGTTCCATATAAATAAGGTTGTTTTATGAAGCAAGCTTGTTTAATGTTGTAATGTGAATCATCTCCCTCTTTAACCTGCCGGCCCACAATGATTAACATTTGTCACCAGCCAACCTGCACATCAGTGCAGTCTCACTAGGACCTATACCTATATAGGTAGCTCAATTTTTAATGACAAAAGCGTTCAAAATGAAACTGTGCTAAATTCTAGATACCATACTACGAGGGTTGTCCCAAAATGTCGTAGACTACATTATTTTCTCTTCAACCTGACGTCATGACTTAATAAAATTTACCAGATATCTTCCTTGGTCATTTGTTAATTTACCTTCTTAAAGTAAATAGCCAATATATAAGGTAACACTTTTTATCAGGGTTTTATATTAAACAGTACAACATACCCGGAGCACGATAAAATATTAGTCAGTGTTGAGAGCATGCTTCTTAAAAATATGCCTTTAACTTCCAGCATAATAATAATTATGGGAAATACATTCCTCTGGAATGACATCATTCATTTTGACGTCATATCACCAACAGACGTTTATGTAACGCTACTTTGAAAAAATCTGTAGCATAATATGTAACAGCAATGCTATTTTGAAAATTCCCAAAATGGCGACGTCAGATGAAAATGCGGCGCAACGCGATGTCATTGAATACTGTGTTCAGTTCAAGAAGCGTCCAGCATTAACTGACAACATGGAGAACATTATATTTTATCAAGATAATGCACTTTGCCATAGATCTCAGGAGACACAGCTTGAACTTGAATTGATATGTTTTTAGAGACTTCCATACGCCCTTAGACTTTGCAGTGTTTCCTTATGTGAAAACACAATTACGAGGTCACCCTGAGGTTCGAAATTTCAGGGTACTAAGCAAGGAAACTCGACGAGTGTTGAGAACATTAAAGTAGGACTATTTTGAAAATGGTTATGATAAATGGGTCGCCCGACACCGACAGTGGATCGAGAAACACGGAAAATACTTTGAAAAACATTTTTTCTTAAATCTTGCAACGTCATGACGTTTATGACGGCGTGCGCCGGGTATGAATAGGTAGCATTCTTTAAATTTTAATAACTTGGTCATTTTTGGAGGTATTTTGATTTTATTTCGCATGGACACACATAAAAGGTGTATTGACTTTTCCCTAGCTTGACGACTCTATTGTTTTATAATTGATTGAGTAACAGACTTAGTCTACGATATTTTGGGACAACCCTCGTATATGGTCAAAAACAAAAACCATTACTATATTTTCTACCTTTCACACTTTGTTAATGAATTCCCTTAAAATTCAAATGGATAGCAGGACAAATCTATAACTTTAAGGGTTAAAATGATAGAAAAATATCTGTACAGTTTATTATTGTAATCTATCTTATGTTATTGATTATTGTCATCAAGTTTAATGACTGTTGACTCACAATTTTATTGTTTAATTACAGTATCATTTCTTATTTATGGCAATGAATAACTATGTCAATAAATTTTTATAAATTCTAGATTAAAAACTAAATGTATGGCAATTTGAAGTATAACTTTCACAGTGTGAGGTCTGACCTGGCTGTAGATTTCAATTAATTAAATTGTTGTATCAAAATCTATTTTAAATTGACAGCTTTCAATTAACTTATAATATTTCAAATGTTATATACATGTATAAGAGATTTATTTTGTTGTATATTGGTACATTTAACTCTGATTGAGTAGTAAATGATCGGAAATTACAAAATTAAAATAGCCTGCAGTTATGTCGTTTTTATAAACATTTAAAAAAATCACAATTTATTCCCAATAAGTATTTAAACTGTGTACACTGAAACCTTTTCTTAACCACCCACCCATGTAGCAATCTGTCATTTAAGGTTTTAACTGGTCAAAAACACTGCCAATCAATGGAGTCCAATTTTTCTTGTAATTCATTTTAAATCAATAGAGTCCAATTTTCCTTGTATTTCATTTTAAATCATTGGAGTCCAATTTTTCTTGTAATTCATTTATTTTACCAAATGTGGTAAGCATCAATTTTATTGAATTTATTTTAGTTCCTTAGTTTAATTAAATCATACTATAGCATATAACTTGTAATGATTGTTTGTTTTAGGACTGGCTGAACTAGGAACTATGTGTGATCCTGAGAGAAGTTGTTCTATTGTAGAGGATAATGGAATTAGTGCAGCATATACAATTGCTCATGAACTTGGCCATGTGTAAGTATTGGAAAATTTGTGGCATATTCATATGAGCCGCGTCACGACAAAACCAACATAATGGGTTTGCGACCAGCGTGGAACCAGACCAGCCTGCGCATCTGCGCACAGTCTGATCAGGATCCATGCTGTTCGCTATCAGTTTCTCTACTTGTTATAGGGTCTGTAAGCGAACAGCATGGATCCTGATCAGACTGCAAGGATGTGCAGGCTGGTCTGGATCCATGCTGGTCGCAAACGCACTATGTTGGTTTTGTCGTGACGCGGATTATGTTATTAGAACATTTGTTAAAATTTTTAGTTTTGAAAGAAATGAAATAGGTATTAAAATGTATATATTATTAATTGACTTAAAGGGGAATGACATCAAGAGAATATAAACTGACTGATTACTGCAGTTATTACCATTAAATGGGTGTCTGTATCACCTCTTACATTAAGTTTGCTTGTTTAAATGATCACACTATAATGTTTTATCTATTTGTGATGTTACTAAAAGTTTCATTGTTTTTATAACCATTTGTTTTATTTTTCTTTCCTATAGTTTTAATTTACCTCATGATGATGATAATCGATGTCGCCGTCCAATATATGACCGAGATCCTACAGCTAAAACACATATAATGTCCCCAACTATTGACGAGAAAACTGACCCATGGTCCTGGTCGGATTGTAGTTCGCGTCTTCTCACAAAATTTCTTGAGTAAGTTATTTTAATGATGTTATATTTAAGTGTATTACATTTTTTTGCAGCAGCTTCAGATAAAAATGCATGCTTGAACTGCCTTTGATAGTTTTATAATATTTACACCTAAGAAATGATTACACCCATGATATGTTGATTTTTTTTTCTAGTTCCTAGATTGAGGTTAACATGTCCGACAAATGTTGGTGTTTGTATGATAACAGTTGCTCCGAAGTTCAATGCACTTCCTGTAAAGTTTTTTGAAGGATATCTTATTTTTGTGACGCATAACCGATGTTTCTTTGACGTTATCTCTAACAACCAATTAAACTGGAATTACTGAATGATTCTGATATATTTATTAGCATTCTGTGGTCAAGGAACAGTTTTTGTGAATGATATATCGCCTGTCTTTTATTGCCCTATTTATCATTGGAATTTATATTTATGAATGTACAACAATGGCATAGAGCTACCCCAACAGCTGCTATTTGAGTGCAAAGTTATTGAAGGTATAAGGGGAGTAACTCTACATGGCTTTAACATACATTAATTCAATAAGAGAGTATTTGAGAAGAATTTGGTGGGAAAGTTAGATAATTTTATCGCTGTTTAAATTTATAGGCAACTTTTCTGTTTGAAACTACCAATGTTTGTTACAAACAAGTCAGTTACATAAATTATGTTAATTATCCTTTTGTGTAAAAGATCAGATCAAAAGCTTAACAATATTACTGAAGAATTATTAATAAATATAACTGAATTTAGGTGGCGCCATAGCTCAGTTGGTTAGACCACTGACTGTCACTCCTGAGGTTCCGGGTTCGATCCTGGGTACCACCCTTGGGATTTTTCAGAGACACTTTCAGTGTTTCCCACCTACCTAAAGGTTTACTGGTTAGAAACCCAGGTAATCCATGCATGTATCAGTGCTATACACTGGGCATATAAAAGAACCAAGGGGTCTTTTCAATATTTCAATAAGAGCAAGGGACTGGTTCCCGGACTCCCTTGTATCTCATAGCTGTCTCTAGAGTCTGGTGAGGTAAGGACTCTACTGGAAATAAGTGCTTGCACTTTTGTAGGTTATCCTTGACCGCCCAAAAATCAATCAATCAAATCATGTTAAAGTTTGTACTAAAAGCTTATCAATGTTAAGTTTTATCTAAGTTTTATTATTTCAGTTGGCCATCATAATCTTGTTTTATCCCTATCAATGCAAAGTCTATAAACATTGAGTCAACAATTTCAAACTGAATTATTTCAGTGCTGGCTACGGAAATTGTCTTCACAATAAACCAAGAGGCAAGAAACAGTATCGCCGAAAAATCACCCGACTACAGAAAAAAAAAGCAGGGTCCATCTACAATGTGAACAAACAGTGTGAGCTCATCTACGGAAAAGGATTTTTCTTTTGCTCTTTTCAGGTAAGCACTTTAACACTTTGATATTGTTTCTTTAGAAATTATGAATCTGAATTATAACTGTTTTAATAGAAATAATAGAACTGCAGATTGAAAGTTTTCACAAATTTTTTTTTTTCTCTCAAATAATAAAAGGGAAATCAATGATATACATTTTTGAATTTCAATTTTCAGAACACGTGCCAGCAGTTATGGTGTACTCAAAATCTGAGTCTCTCGTGCCAAACACAGCACATGCCCATGGCTGATGGAACCATGTGTGGACCTGGTAAAGTAAGTGTTACCCCCCCAATTTCTGTCTTTTGATAATAACAATTAAATCAAAGTATGCAGGGTTATACTCATTAGCACTTTATCAGTATTTTGTTGTGGTTCTTTGCTTGCATCACATGAAGTACATAATAGAATTGGCAGATATTGCTTAGAAGTGATAAAAATGTTCATTTGACCAGTTTTGTTGATGATAAATATGTCATGTGAAGTTCAAAGTGTGACTGGTTTTCTTATGATATATGGATCGATCAAACAACAGTTTGCTTGAATGGTTATCAGTTTCATTGAAAGAATGTTGTAAAAGAATCATTTTGAAAAACATATATTTTTATATGATAATGAATATGTATAAACATTAACCCTCTCTAATTTTATATTATTAACTTGTGCTGCTTCATGGGAGAGCATCGGATTTGTAATCCAAGGGTTGCCAGTTTGATCCCTGGACAAGACAAAATTCCTCCAGGACGGTTGATTATATGCATTGAGTCTAATGGTCATTTGTCTCTCACTGCTGATTCTGAAATCATGGGATAACTTAATAGTCACTTATGGAGAAGTTTGTAATTGTTAGTTATCCAGGAAAGTCAGTTAGGTGGAGATATGACCAAAAATGTATTGAAATCTGTCTTAAAAGGAAACAAACAAATCAACATATAAATCTGTTACTGTCTAATATCAAATGAAGAGATTTCAATATCTAAATGCAATCTTCCAACAGTATACAGTCTGTTCAGTTTACACAGGTGTGATGGCTGGCTTGAATCTTTCCTGATATTTGTACACAAGTCATTGTTGTTAAGTATGTTATTCCATATTTATTTTAGTGGTGTATACGTGGAAGATGTGTAAAGGATAAACCTGGCAAGAAAGTGAAAGGTGGGTGGGGTAAATGGCATCCCTATGGTAAATGTACAAGAACCTGTGGTGGCGGAATCAAAAAGGCTGTCCGAGAATGTAACAATCCAGAGTAAGTTAATGAAAATATACCCTTGAAAATTTGAATTTAATATCTTATTCAATCTTTTTTTAATGGTAGGAAAATTTCCTGAAGAAAGTCATATAATTATATTTCTTTGTTGGAAATAATGAATTAACTTATTCAATACAGATAAATATATAGTTTATGCATAATTGGTCTAAAATATAATAGATTTATAGTGGTCAGGTGCATTAGAAAAGTATAGACATGTGTGTTATTGTAAGTGTTTAGTTTTATAGATTGTGATGAACTTTTTTTTCAGACCAAGTGGGGGTGGCCGTTACTGTACCGGCAAGAGGATAAAATACAGACATTGTAATACCAAGGTAACACATTATATAATATTACTGTGTTTTATTGATATGATCATACATTGATGCAACGGGGAGTGCATGAACACTTGCCTCTGAACTTACAAATATAATCTTTTCCTTCTCTTCCTTTTATGTTGTGACTGAGACTTTAACATATATTGTTTTAATACATACAATGATGTTAGTATAATTTTGTAAGAATTATCTTTAAAATGTGATTGAAGATTTTGTTGCATTGTGAAGTCAAAGATACAAAATGTACTAATTTCTTTTATTCAACTTATTTAAGGATTGCCCATCTAACAGTGATGACTTCCGTATACAGCAATGTGCCGAATACAACAGCCAAATACGTCATTATAATATACCTCCAGGATCTAAATGGCTTCCAAAATATGATGGTCGTAAGTGATAGAGATATTTGTACAATTTTAAAGCACCACTTGCATGTTTTTATTGACAACAATTGAATCAGTTTCTGTAGATAAATATATAAATGAGCCATGTCACAACAAAACCAACATAGTGGGTTTGCAACCAGCATGGATCCAGACCATCCTGCGCAGTCTGATCAGGATCCATGCTGTTCGTTATCAGTTTCTCTACTTGTAATAGAGTTAGTAAGCGAACAGCATAGATCCTGATCAGACTGCGCGGATGCGCAGGCTGGTCTGGATCCATGCTGGTCGCAAACCCACTATGTTGGTTTTGTCATGACGCGGCTCAAAATTTGAAAATTTACATTCATTATAAATGATACTATTACTATTAGGTTTAATAGAGAGTGTGTTTTGGATTTGGAGACAGTTGACCTACTGTCATGTCACATGAAGAGCCTAGTTAAACATCTTGGTATAACCATCAAACCTAGCTAGTTTGTTTACTTCCTGCAATGTGTTCACTGTGTCTCGAGTTCTCCTACAAAAAAACTTGCACCTCAAAAGGCTTAAATGACTGGAGCAAATTTAAACAGTCTTTGTGAAGAGATATCAATATTTTCAACAATAAATGATAATTATATGATTACAGTATAACCACGGGTAAATGAATAATGTATTATGTATATGATATAATTACAGTTCAAGAGAAGGACTGGTGTAAGTTGTATTGTAAGGCCGATTCTAGTCCGTCCTACTTCTACATGCTGAACCACAAGGTGATTGATGGAACAAAATGTCGGCCTGATGGTAACGACATCTGTGTCAACGGTCAGTGTCGGGTATGTATTATCATTCTCATACAGTCTCTTTTATGTTTGGAATAGTGAAACATTTACACTTGTATAGTAATATATGTACAATCACAGTTATATCTTTGCAGAGGGTGGAAAAATGTTTTATTTTAAAATTTTTAGACAGTTAAGTCTTTATGAAATTTACAATGGTATAGTGATCATTAAACATTAAAATAAGTAAAATTCATGATAAATTTTATTCTGTTTTTGTAATGACATTAAAAGTTTACATGTTCTATGGATGAATTGTTAATATATGAAAATTTTCATAAATTTTGGAAAAAATTGAAAATGAGTGTATTAAGATGGAATGATTTATATTTAGCGTGGAGGATGTGATAACAAACTTGGTTCCAACATGAAACGTGACAGGTGTGGTGTATGTGGGGGAGACAATGCATCATGTAGAACTATCTCCGGATCTTATAACTCAGTCAAATATGGTAAGATTTTCATTTTTTGTTTCACAGTATACAACTTTACATAAAAAAGAAAATATGTTAATTTCCATCTTAGAGAAATGTTTTTACCCCTTAATTGAACAATTGGTTGATTGAGGAGGTCTTATTGTTTTTGGTCTGTATGTTTGTTTGTCACAATACTGTAACCTTGACTACTCACCTGGAGGTCAAAGGTCAAGGACACCAGGATATTAATGTCCTCCCCTGGGAAATAGTATTCATTTGAATATAGTGCTTGTTAACTGTTATTACAGAGATGTTTGGTTGTGTTTAACTGTCATTTTTGTGATTTGTGGATGATAAATAATTCTACAGAAAATGCATTTATCATTGATGGATTATTAGCTGACATTTTCATTTTAATGACATTAATGATAAATTAGAAACTGCATCACTATATATAACGTAGAATGTATGAAATATTTACATACTTGTATGTTTACAGATTACAACAATGTCACTGTGATCCCTGCTGGTGCTACCAATATTGATATAAGACAACTTGGTTATAGACATCTACGTGATGATGAAAACTACCTCGGTATAAACATTACATTTTCTGTTGTAACAAAACTTTTCATCACTTTTTTAGATGTTTGTAAATTTTACATAAATCTGATTGATTTTGTCCTTGATGTATGAGCCAAATAGCTGTTTTTTTATTTACATAAATATAGTTTAATAAGAGTTATTTAGGAGATATCAGTATAACTTATGATTATAATGTAAACAATATGTAAATAATTTGGTTAATTTGACAATCATGTTCACCTTGACAAATATTCTAATATTTTACTAAGCCTGTAATTACAAGTGATGTTCCATCTTATACATTTTTAAAGTAATACATATGATTTATTTAATCAATTGTCGTGTTTCAGCTCTGATAAATTTTCGCAATGAGTATTTACTGAACGGTCACTACCAGATTAGTCCGTACCCTCAGAAGATTAATGTTGAAGGTGCTGCCCTGTTTTACACCGGCTCGGAAATAATAGAGGAGAGAATTAACTCTACTGGAACTCTCGGTGAAGATTTACAATTACAGGTACTAAATATAAAATATTACATTTTTATTAACCAAAAAACTCAAAAAACTTGGGATATATTCGCTTTTTGAAAATTAACCAAAACTAATTCTTTAATTTTTTATCTATAAATTAATTATATCAGAGTTCATGTTTGAATATGTTTTAATTCTTGCTATTTTGATATATAAATGTAAGCAACATGTAGTGTAAACAATACAAATTGTATTAATGATTAACAATGTTGTAAAAGATTTTCTTAAATTTGACTTTTTATTGTACTCATTGTGTATGTTCAGGTATTGTCTGTTGGAGACTTGAACCCTCCCAAAATTCAATATTCTTATACACTGTCACTACATCAAAATGAGAGGTTTACCTGGAAGGAGGGAAGTGAATGGACAAAATGTAATGATATATGTAATGGTAAGGCTTTCTTTATAATTATGTATATTATATTTATATTTTTTTTCTATAATATTTTATAAAAGTGAAGGAAAATGATTTATGTTGAATTTTAATATTTTATAATTTTGTTATAGCCGTCCTTAACCTTTTGAATTGTGTAATGGATTGTCCTTGCTCTGAATTGTAACAGTTGATTCAGAGTTATCCAAATAAATGAATGAATACATGCAGTAACAGATGATGTAAAATGAATATAAAATACTTTATATAAATGTATTAATTGTGAATTGACATTCCAGGAATGAGATTCCGTAAGATAAAATGTGTCCGAGAGAATGACAATGCTATTGTGTCTGAACAGCGATGTGAAAATATTCCAAAACCTTACCCACGATCTGAGAGATGTAACCCATTCTGTACATTAAAGTAAGTTTAAATGTCATGACAAGCTTCTTTAATTAATGTTATAAAACAAAATACATATAGAAAATTCATGTATTTTAATTAAAGGATGCATGGTGCAGCAGGTATTTAGGAGTTAAACTCTTAAGATAAAGAATTCTAAGACTTAGCAGGCTATCCTTTCATACTTCATCAGAGTTTTCATTATTTACAGATTGGTGATCTATATCATCGATTGAAAGTTGTTAAATCGGTTTTATTTTTAGTTTGTAGATTAAAATATCTCCCTTGACCAAATGGTTTTCATTGGCACATCTGTTGTGTCAGATAAAAATGAAAAACCTGCTTCATATGTGAATTGTTTATATTCTAGCTTTAATTACAATACTGCAACAAATACAATACAAATGTTTTGTTAAATATTTATTTTGTGATATCCATGTATTGAATAAGTATTGAAAAGCATGATGTTCTATGTTATAGCTGGAAGGTACTCCGAGGAGAGTGTTCCACAAATTGCGGTACAGGAGTGGCGAGACAAAATATCTCTTGTGTGGTTTCCGGACGTTACAGGAGTACCGAGGAAGTTGATATGGCACATTGTATAAAACGTTCTGAAATCGGACCTAAGCCAGCTGATCGTGTCGTCTGCTATGGGAAATGTAGAGATACTCAGTGGAAATACACAGAATGGTCAAAGGTATATACTGAATGAGAAGTGCAGCTGGTATTATGATATTCTTTATTTAGTGTCCTTATCTATATATAACTATATTTGAAAGGACTTGAATATTTTGAAAATAAGTTTTGTGTTAAAAGGGCCATGGTTTGGTCATTGTTGTTTTAAAAACCAATGCCAGATTAAGTACAATATTAGATACTAATGATTTGTTTTGTACTCATATGTTTGATTGGAAAAACATCCACGTTTTACATGATATTTTTACAGTGTACTGCCACTTGCGGAACTGGAGGTCAGAAAAGAAGTGCCATCTGCGCGGACAAGAACGGGGAAAAAGTTGATGACTCATATTGTAGTAAGAAGGATCTCTCCACGGAAAGAGTTTGTAACACTCAACCTTGTCCGGTATGGCAGGTACAAGATTGGACAGAATGTTCAGTAACTTGTGGTCATGGACACCAGCATCGTAAAGTGTTGTGTTACATCAGAGACGAGGAAGTTATTGAAACAAAGTGTGATTATAAGCAGAAACCGACTAACAAGCTTGAATGTTACATGGGTACATGTCCTAGATGGTCAACTGGTGAATGGGGAGAGGTTAGTGATGAATAGTTTAATCACTTAAAATTTGATTTATGATATTTATTTTCAAATACATGTATGTAAAAGCAGATAATTTAGCTGAAAAATATACACACTCAAGTATATAAATATCTTTTGAATTAAGATGTGTTCAAAGGGGCTTGAGAATTTCATCTAATTGCTAAAAATAATGTTATTCAGTTTTTGATAATTGTTATCACTTTTCAATGCAGTGCTCCACAACATGTGATATGGGGATCGCAATACGTTCTATCAAGTGCGAGGCCACCTCAGGTCAAACCCTAGACGACTTCCATTGTGATGCCACTCAGCGACCGTACGAGACACGACAATGTAACGAGGGGACATGTCCTACAACCACTGTCCCGACTACCACACAGAGGGAGCAAAAACGGAAATTAAAGATTATACCAAAAGTTATCTATCACTGGACAACAGGAAGTTGGACACAGGTAATTGATAATTTGTTTAATGGCAAGACATTCTAATTATTACTTGATTATATTAATTGTGTTGTATTGCACCTTCTATTTGTTTAAAATTGGTCTCCTTATTTTGTGTTTTAAAAGTCAAACAATTTCTTTGCAACTAAATAAGCAAACAAAAAGAAATGATTGTATAGCAATATATTCTCATATATACGAATGTCTATTATGTATTTCAGTGTTCAGCGTCGTGTGGTGAAGGTATTAAACAGCGTTATGTAACATGTATGAATAATAAAGATGAAGTAGGTGACCCCTTTGACTGTGATCAACTAGATAAACCGGCTGAAACGGAGGCTTGTACTCAGCGGGCGTGTGGATACTGGAGAACTGGTGACTGGGGAGAGGTTAGTGTTTTCTTTTTTTGTCTTTGTAAACATCAATAGGTTAGTAATAATTGGCATAAACTAATGTATGAGATCTATCATTTTAAAAAAGAAATCCTCAAAATTTTCACTTGTAGAGACCTTGATATGCAGTCACTGTTTGAAATAACTTCCAAGTAATAACTGACATAAACTTTAGTATGAGATCCAACTCTTAAAAAAATCCTTGGAATTTTCGAGGCCTTAATATGAATCACTGTTTGAAATAACTTCCATGTGTCTTGTATAAGGATTATTTTTAATGTAACTGTCTGAGGTATTGGGATATGATTTAGTTTGTACAATTTGCTGTTACTAGATATTGATTACTGAGTATTGTTATTATTTTCAGTGTTCTGTAACCTGTGGAACTGGTATAGAAACTAGAGCAGTTGTATGTACATTACAAGACCGGAAATCAGCCGACCAGATTCACTGCGACATGGATGTTAAACCAGAACTGGAACGTAAATGCTCACTGGATGAATGTAAACCTGAAGATTTTGATATTGGTGTGATAATTACCAACACAGTGGTTGGTATAAGTCACTGGAGAATAGGACCTTGGAGTGCAGTAAGTGAAAATTACTCTTTTGGGAAAAAAAAATTAAATAAAAAAATCTTCCTTAGTCATTTTGTTTGATAAACTTGTTTTACACTCCTTTGGGTATGAATCTATAGTAATCTGAATGTAAGGAAGCTATGCAGCTAGTGTAATGGAAGATCTGTAACTCTGTCCTGGTGCCAACTTGTTGATAATTGACCAGATTTGTGTCAGTGTTAAGGCCTAATCCAAATGAAGGAAATAATGTCATTTTAGAAAGCTTTTATTGCTTTCCCTTTTATCATTCTGAGCCTGTGTTTATTTTTCTATTCTCTGTAATATGATAGACCCAGCATAGTTCATTGAACTTTGTTTTACAATGTCCGGACTGTAGACATGTGGAGAACAAAGTGTGTCTGTATGATTTTATGGAGGCCATTTACCCTGTATTACAGCATGCAGTAATAATCTTATTAAATATTTTATATTGTATGTCTACCGCATAGGTTGTTCACCTTGTGTTTTTATTATTGCATAAAATATGCTCACTTCTTATAAAACATGGACAGTATAGGTCTGGCTACTTTTATGTATTAATATTTGGAAATGTCAGGAAAGCTTGAAAATTAAAAATTATTCTGCTAGAACTTTCTTCTATATCAGATATTTACAAAGACACATTGTCTCTGCTATTCTGTTGGTTGTAGGATGTAAAATTTAGATTGTAAACCTTCATAATTATGAAGACCTTGTAAAATAAGGTGATCTTTCTGTGCAAATATTATTAAAACATCCAGTACAAGCTCTGAAAATATATATCTTTTAAAGCCGTGGAAGCTTTAGGCAATGGAAAAATGACTGACAATAATTGTAATTCTTGACTCTCATTACATAACAGCTAAAGATTTTGATGATTAACTAAAAAACTGTTTTTTTTAAACTGAAAATGAAAACATCATAGAAATGCTGTCCTAGTTTAAGTCTGTATTATCTGTTAACCTAGAACAAGCACAAACAATTAGGCTACTTGCTTATTAATTGACATAATAAAAAATGAACTACCTGAGTACAGTAACAAAAACACAATATAAACAAAATAAGCAGTAATTACCAGCAGAGAAATTCTATCCCACAATTCCCAGTAATCTGATCAAAGTACTTGAGGAATCATTAAATAATTATAACTAAATCATTTTATACTAGCAACAAAAACAAAGATAATATCAGTTAATTGGTGATTATTAGAGGTCTTTAACCCTTGTTTTAGAAGCTTCTTTTGTTTTTTTATAACAAAATCGAATAGATGACGAAATCATAAAGGAATTTAGAAAAAATATGATGACAAGAGAATATTATTTATAAAAACTTACTTTTCAGTGTTTTGTAATTGCTTTCATGTTTCTGCCTATCTTATCTGTAATTGATTATGTTCTTAATATTACTATCTCATAATGAGTGAACAATTTTCTACTTTTCTCTTTATATTATATGCCTTCTTTTTTATTTTCTTTTAATTATTTTATGATTATCATTTCAGTGTTCAGCATCATGCGGGACAGGTTGGCAAAGGCGTCAGGTTTTATGTCATGACGAGAAAGGACCCAGTGAGAAATGTTCTGAAGATCAAAAACCAGAATCCAAACAGTCATGTGACGCAGGTGCTTGTCCTAAATGGGCTAAAGGAGAATGGTCTCAGGTAAGAATATTAAGTTTGTATTAACCTATAACTTGTTTAATTCAAAAGGTAGTCACCAATATAGAGCCAGACCAGCCTGCACTTCCATACAGACTGTGGGCTCTATACTGTTGACTTACTTTAATTGTTCATCTTTATATATCCTAAAATTACTGTTGACTTACTTTAATTGTTCATCTTTATATATCCTAAAATTACTGTTGACTTACTTTAATTGTTCATCTTTATATATCCTAAAATGATAATGGATAATGATACATTCAACTTAAGACTTAAAATACTGTTCTCATGTTTATACTTTGTATGTGGTTTAAGTTATTATAAGTAGTTTGAGTCTTAATATTGGGTTGGTCATTTGTATTTCATATGCTTAATTAGTGTTATCATAAACTTGAACTGTGTTTGACTGTATCTATCATCTTAAGTTAACATTACAGGAATAATTTGTAAATTATTAATCTTATTGCAGTGTTCCAAATCTTGTGGAGAAACTGGGATGCAAAAACGTACAGTTAAATGTCAGTCAGCAGACGGAGAATCTTTACCAGACACTAGCTGCGATATTTTCAACCGACCTCCGGATACAGGAATCTGCAACAATGGCCCTTGTTCTAGAAACAGAAATTGGCAAGTTGGGCCATGGTCTTCGGTAAGAAACCTCCCCAACCTCTATTATAATCATCATTATCGCCATTATTATAACCAATATTTACGACATCGTCTACGCCACGGCAGAGGGAAAAGGTCTTTTAGGCATTTAAAAAGAATGAAAACACGACATGCAGTTTATTAGATAGAAATTAAAGTGGAAAGAAAATGTATGATATCTGGTGATAATTGTAACAAATTGTGTTCTCTAATACAGTCTTGTAGATAATGATTTCCTACTAATTTATAAGATGCTTTTTATATATACATGATTAGCAAAGTTTTAATCCTGAGATAAGATTTGTTATATAAAAGGGAATTGTGTTAGGTAAAGTGATTTTGTGGAGAAAATGGGAAATTGTCGATTAAGAAAAACTGGAATTTTGGAGCTCCAAAGCTGATGACTTAAACAAAATTTGGGTAAAACAGAACCGGAAATGAATTTAAAACACTGGGAAATTTAAGTGAAGAAACAAAAAAGCCGGCTGGGGAAATGAAAAAAAACTGCTCTTTTTAAAAGGGGAAAAAGTAAAATAGTGAAAAAAGGGGCAAATAAATAAGACATTTGTTGATAGGTCTTTTAAAGTGTTATGAAGTTCTAGAATGTTTTATATAGAACGAGTGTTGGTAAGGTGTTTTAATGACATGTAGAGGTAATTTGATGATAGCAGGATGAAAATGCTGAAACCTGTATATAATTTTTTGGGGGAAAGGATTGTGAAATAGGTTGGGTGATACACAAATCCTATTTTTTGAACATTTACTAAATAAAAAACAGAAAATTTTGATTCATATCTACATGTTTTTGAAAACTTTTTTTTTTTGAATACAACAAATGGGGAGTGGGGATTTGTTTGGGCCCATAGCCAAAGAACTATGCCCCCATTATTGGTGTAGGGTAGTTTTTGTCGGTTTCCCCAAAATTTTTGAAAAATGTTATTATTTTTTTTAAATTTTGTTTTTGATTGCGTCATTTTTAATATTTTAAAATTATATAATTGGGTTTTTTCCTAGAACCATTATTTTTTATTTATGAAACATTTTATGTTTTTTATTAAAATTTTTTTTTATTTTTTTTTATTTAATTAGTTTTGTTTTATGTGAAAAGTATCATTGTAATTTTTACAAATTGTGAAAATTACAAAACAGAACAAATAAATATGAATTGGGTCCTTTACTTTATTGATATTCTAAATGTGCCAAAATTAAAAGGACATACAACCGTCTCATTGAGAAATATTCATGATTCATGTGATCTTACAATATTCATGATTCATGTAATTTTACATTATTCATGATTTATGTGATGTTACATTACTCATGATTCATGTGAGATTACCATATTCATGATTCATGTAATTTTACATTATTCATGATTCATGTAATTTTACATTATTCATGATTCATGTGATGTTACAATATTCATGATTCATGTGATGTTACAATATTCATGATTCATGTGATCTTACAATATTCATGATTCATGTGATCTTACAATATTCATGATTCATGTGAGATTACCATATTCATGATTCATGTGAGATTACCATATTCATGATTCATGTGATTTTACAATATTCATGATTCATGTGATCTTACAATTTTCATGATTCATGTGATCTTACAATTTTCATGATTCATGTGATTTTACAGTATCATTTCATTTGGCTATACAAAGACATTTTCTTCAAATTATTTTAGATAACCACAGTCAAGTAAATTTTGAAGACTAAAACTTGAACAATGTTGTCATAACTTTAAATGGAACTCGAAACAAAAAAGGATTAAATGATGATCATGTGTTTAGAATATATTTGAAAAAGTCATTAGTTTGGTTATAGATGTATTTTAAGAACTGCTGAAAAATGTTAAAAGCAGGTCCTTTACATGTTTAACAGTTGATCTTGTATAATGGGAGTTAAATATGGTGGAGATAATCAATCTAGGAAAGGGCCATAACTGCTGCATGGTTTTCTGTGTTGTGTCATTGTACATGTGATCATATTTTATTTTGTATCATGCAAATTTTATGAATTTATTTAATTATTTTGATATTAGAATTCATAATGTGATAAAGTTTCAGTGATTTTATTTTTAAGTGTTTATTTATAAATAAAATGAGTATATAAACTTTGAATATTTTTCGAGGTTGTATCAGTTACTAGTTTTGAGTTATTTTTCATAACCATACATGAAAAGTTTATACAAACTAAGGACAAAAAGGTAAAAAGGTCAAGAAATACTTGGTGAAAAAAAGAAAGAAGCATCTTCATTTTGACTTGGTTGCCTCCCTGCCACCCCTCTCCCTGCTATAATTCTTGACACTTTAGGTGGAAAGCTGTCATTAGGATAATTTATATCAAACATCTTTTGAACAAATTTCATGAGTCTTTTCCCAAATTGAAGTCAAACGAATTTGCATTTGATCATTTATTGTCCAGCCTTTGTGGTGCTCTTGTTTAAGCTAAGTATGGTACAATAACTCTGACCTTCAGTCAGTTCAAGTTTAATCATAACATAAAAAATGTTACAATATTGTGTCAGAAATTAGTTAAGATATTATATGAGCAAACACACCGGATGCGCAATTACAAAAACCCTGGTAGCTGTTTCGCAAATGATTTGTAAATTGCTGAAACAATTATGTAATATGTGTAGTGAGAATTATTCACTTAAAACAATATAAAACCAGCCTACAGATAATTGAGGCTAATTGTACAATATGAACCAGTCTGACAGTAGTGATGCATCGTGGGTGGGATAATCTCTAATCTATGTGATCACAAAAACACTGGGATGAAAAATATAGCCTCTAAAACTGTTAAAGTCTGCTAGACTTCTGGATATAATCCAAAATAAGATTAGTTAATCTTAATCCATTAGCCTAGATGTATAATACATGCAGGTAATGATAGGGTGTGGTAGTTTACCTCTAACAGTAACATAATTATCATTTAGACCTGTCACAATAACTAATGATACACTTTTATTTGGTATTTTTGCAATGCAAAAAAATCATTGTTTTGACTGTAGAAACTGTTTGCTGTGCAAGATTTAATCCAATGTGCAAGCTTGCTTGATTCTTTAGTTCCAGTGTACCTGTGAACAAATTGTTTTATTAATATTAAACAATACAAACAGATATATTCAAAAGTAATAATGGTACATGAAGATCACCATGAATGAGGTGGTGGCAGGTCTAGGGATTGAGTATTCATGATGAATAAGGGAAATTACAACTTTAGCACAAAATCTAAGCTTCTACAAAGAGTGTTAACTTTTCTGATATGTTTTCCCCATTTAACAAGCTATTAGAATTATAGTCAATTCAAGGAATGATTTTCTTTTGCTATCCAGAAATAACGTGCTAGGTGTTCAGTAGAAGAATCAGTGGGGAAGTCCTATCTTCCTGTTAAGATATCAATAAAAACCATTGATCTTTATAGATGCTTATACTTCTTTGTGATTTATTATTGTCTGGGTAGTATAAAACCATTGATAGTCTTGCAATGATTGGCTAAGTTTATTTTTGAACTACTCAAATGCATTTTGCCTCCTTGACAAGGTCCCATATGGCTGCAGTAACAAACTCCCTTACAAGAAAGTACAGACGTATAAACAAATAATGAATAACATAAATAGTATAATATATATTATCTAACAGTATAACATGATTGATATTAAGTGTCAAATTTTTTCATCAGTGATCATTTTTTCTCTAAAAGCACCAATGAGTTACAGAGAGATAAGGCCATGTTACTGAATATCAATGTAAATGACCTGTTTAATGTCCATGATAAAAGTAAGGAGTCCTTCACTAAAAACAAACACTAAATTCAATAAATGTTATCCAGAGCTCTGCAAATGTGAGTTTTTTCCCATCTACTCAGTTGGTTCAAGCTGTGACGGGCTTGTCGATACAGTGTATAATTCGGGATGCGCTACTGATCTGCCTTTTACACTTATTTTCAATATATTTACCATCAATTAGTGCAACATTACAAAGTTGTAACTGTAAAATGCCCAAACAGTCTTAATTGCGGAGTAAGTCTGTTTCCATGTAGTTGACAGTATTTGTACGGCCAATAAGTTTGACCTAAATGACATGTATACATTTGAGGATAAAAATCTGGTTACCACTTGCCATTTCACATTTTTGCTGTGTGAAAGTGCAAAACTTTAAGTTTAGCTATTTTGTACTAAATGACCTTGACCTATTGTTGATGACCTTGACCTATTTTTGATGACCTTGACCTATTTTTATTTTTGTAACATTGACCTTGTTCTTTTAAATGACCTTGACCTATTTATAAGATATTGACCTAATTGCACTTTAATGCTCTAATATTATATTATAATACTCTTAATTAAAATATAGATTTTTTGCAAGAATGTAATTTGAAATCATTTCACATTTTGAAGTAATGAAAATAAGATTGATTTATGTTTTAAGGTATTTTATTTTCATTTTAAGTGCATTTAGAAAAGGTTTTTGCGGTTTTAATTTATTAATGTTAAACAGTGCATAATTTGAATAAATGAAATGGAATATATTAATTCACACTAAATAAACTTGCTTTTACAATTGATTGCTTGAATTGAAGTTTACTGAAAAATTACTCATAAAGACTATTGTATAAAATTACTCATAAGCACTGCTTTATAACTTTCTTGTTAAGGACAACTCCATAAAGAACTAGTGACTTTCTCCCTGCCACCCAATTCCCATCCCCCCCCCCCTTCCCAAAGATCTGATAAAAATTGAACATTGTGATAAAGTCAATCTGTTTTTCTCATGCTTGTAATTATGTTTTATGGAGAATAAGACTTGGGGGGATTAGTAATTTAGGTGCACTTTAGATAGTGCACATTTCTTGTCAAGAATACAATATGTCTGCATGGAAATCTTGGCAAAGGAGCAAATGAGGCATTTCATTTTTTTCTAAAATTAAAAAAAAAAAAACAACTTTTTTTTTAGATTTTTAGCTCGACTTTTCTATG